GGTTTAGGGGTTAGGGTTGAGGGCTCATGGATTAATTCACGTTCAGGGTTTGGAGTTTCCAGGTGAGTTTAGGGTGTGGGGTACAGCGCTCAGAGCTTTGGGCTCAGGGTTTGGGGTGCCATGAAATCAGCAAGACAGCTCTTTGCTTACCATGGGCGACGATGCTCCTGATCCCATTAATACATGCGATCATACGTCCAAACTCAAAACCAATGATGGAGTCCCTTGCGAAGCCTGAGCTTGGAAAAAGAATACCGAAAGGCCATATCCCCATGAAACACCCTCTCATCTCATCCCTTCTTTAAGCAACCGTTACCCTCACCCAAGAAGAAAATTCTGTATACCACCCATAAACCCCATATAGTCTCTAAGAAGCCCCAACTGTACCCAAAAGAAAACACAAGCAAAATACCAGCTTGGGAGATGTGGGGAAGCTGAGCAAGCCTGGGCCACAAGCTCGCGGTTCGCCAGCTTCTGGTGGGATGGGATGATCCTTCAGATAGGCGTTGGAGTGCTTTTGTTTTGTCAGCTTGTCGCTTGTAACGGGGGGAGGGGTTAGGGGTTGAGCTTTTAACAAATTTGACTGCTGGGTTTGAGGCTTTTGGGGTTTGGGGATGCGGGTTTTAGGATTCAGGGACGGGATGGTCCTCCTCGGTGGGTTATGTCCAATGCAAAGCCCGCAAACGGTCAGAGCAAAATGTTTGCATGTCTTCTCCCCAGTGTCCCGGGCACGTCCAGAAACACCAGCTGGGTGTTGCCCATGGTTTTGACGCCGCGCACGCCTTCTCGCGTGGTGTTGACCTGATAGGTCCCAGTTCTCAAAAATGGGTTGGGGATGTGCCAAAAGTAGCTGTCCTTTCTGTGCGCTTCCGCTACAGCTCAGCAGTCATCAAACTCCAAGCGCACTCGCTCTACTTCTGGCCTGTTTGCAGGTACCCTTGATAGAAGGATTCTAGCACCCCTTGGTAACATGATGAAAACGGCCCACAAGTAAAAGATAGCCGTGCCTTCGGCGAGACGGCGCTGATGGGATCTCGGACAAGCTAGCTGCACCGATTGAGACTTCTCATGTCAACAGCTTCACGGCCCACTTTTCTCTTGTCCACGTGTACATGTATTATCCTGGCCGTCAAAGCTTGCACTTTCAAGAAACTCCTGCCACATGCACAGGTCATCTCGGAAGTGAGCTGTCCAGGATGATGTTCATCAGCGAAGACTTTCCAGCCTTGGCTACTGTGTGGCTCAAGACAAGACCTTCCTTCGACAGATGATGGCTTTGGATCTTTCGGGGTTCTCATAGTAATGTCCGCAGACTCACTACATACACACTATGTTTGAAAGCCCCATTGCGCTGTTTTCTAGCAAGCAGCTCTTGCGACTGTAGCTATAGCAGGTGAGACCAGTTTGTCCTTGTTGGGCGCTGTTGTTCTCAGGGTCCTTCTGCCTTCAAGCGTGACACGCTACTATGACACATCGAGTGCAAGATGCGGGAGCAAAGGGCAAGCCAGCGCAGCTGCAAGCATAGAATATGATCCAACACACAATTAAATTACATCTAGTACACATCTAGTCTACCCTACACTTCTTTCAGCTACTCCTAAAAACCATGTACCTTGTTGTAGAAATACGTCCCTCTTTTTGGTGCGTACAGACATACGAACATACATACCGACTATGCTCCAAGGGCCGTACGTTGGGCGGACCCATCAGTCCTCAGGCGAGCAGCGATTCAAGATGGAGATTGGTTTCGGACTCTTTGTGTTGTTTAGGGTTCATTTTGGGGTTCGGTAGTCGAGATGTGGGGTTTAGGGTCCATGGTTTGGGGGAACCTCAACAAGTCTGTAGGCATTTTCAACGAATATGCGGCTGGAGTTCTTGTATTACCACTAAGGTTAGTCATATGTCACTTTCTTGAGGATTCTTCAAGAACCCTAGACCCTGATGCCAAAGCCCTCGGGATAAGCCGTATTTGGGGTTCCTGGTAGATTCCTACAGATACTGTACAGGCTTCACTGTAAGCGGCATTTCTCGAAACTCGGATCCGGCTATATACCCCAAAGGCTACAGTCACACGTACGTTTAAGAACCACCAAATCGGAAACCATACTTTCGGAAGTTCCTATCCCCACGCCCTAAATGACCCTAACCATAAGCCCTTGGGGCCCTCAGTCCTCTTTGGGGGTCCCTGAACATCTCAGTTACCCCAAAACCTCTACTTCAACTGATAATAAAGATATTACTTCTAACGATTCCTTGGGGTCCTACTCAAATAGAAACGGAAAACGGAAAATAAAGAATCCAACCTGGACCCAGAAGTAAAATTGGCTTGAAACTCCTGAAAAAGCCCATTATTCTACATACTTGCGGGTTTCAGGTATCCCTAGGGCTCCCAGTTACCAAAATAGTAGGTTACTGGGCTATGTAATTTTTGGGTATATAGAATCCAGTTCCCATTATTTAGGTAACTGGTGTTGTCGGGTATACCAACCATGTCCGAAAGGCCAACCCGGAGAAGGCGTGGTTCCGCAGGCTGAACCTCGGCGTCTGACATTAATAATACCAACAAACAGGGGTTCCCTACTGTTGATACTATAGATCCTGCATGACCTTAGTATACTATAGCACCATTCTTCCCAAGGTTTAGGGTACTTGGGGTCATGCAGGATTTTTAGTATCCACGGTATTACAGGGATTATATGAGGTTACAGGGATATATAGAGGATTATTTAAGGTTTAGTGTTAGGAAGGTTTAGTGATATTGCCCCCAAGAACGGCAGAATCAAATGGACAAGAACATGGAACAGTCAATGGAAGCTGTGCTTTAAAAAGGGGTCATGACTTGCACATGGTCAGCAGAAGGTGAAGGATTGTATAGGGACTACTAGAAGGGTCCCTTCCGTCACTTCCTTCATTCCAATACCAAAAGTGGTAGCATTATACTCACCACTCACATGCCTCCCTGCCTCTATGTAGTACATAGAGACCACACTCATGTTCAGAAATGATCAAACTGAAAAGCAGGGTTGGGCCCAGAAGCTTTTAGTTTATATAAGGACTCGCTTTTGTGGGATGGCACTTCAGTGACAGTAATAATTATGATACTGGTAACAGTATTTTTTCTTGTTAGCAATTGTATTGCCGGTGCGCAAAGAACCCAATCGATGACATGGTTCTCCTGGAGTTTCCCGCTGATCCACTTCATGTAGGCTCTCTGTGACATTCCCTGCTTGCGTCTGTAAGTTTCCTGGCTGTAGCATTGCATGAAGAGCCTAAGGGCTGCGCAAGGGTATAGTGGACACGGCTGTTTTCTGATGGCAGCCCCATGTCAATGTGCTGGACTCCAGCCAAACACGTAAACCAAAGATGTACACCCAACACATACAAATCCTAACTAACCACTCTCCTGAGTCCCAACGAAGCCCCCCAAACCCTCGCAAGGACATGCGCGGCTCTTGCCATGTCTCACCCTTCCAGAAGAACCAGCATCAGAGTTTTGGCTGATGTCTCGTCATTCTTCAGTCGGACGCTTCTGGAACTCTCATGCATAACTCAGGCTGCCATCCAAAAAGATGAATTCAGACTCCCAAATTGCAACCAGCCACGCAAAATCTTCAGCCGAACCTTCCAGCCCAAATCCATACCCTATAAAGACTAAAGACCAAGCCTGGCTCAAACCTAGCGACTGCATGAAAACTCCGTATTCAAAACTCTTTGGCAGGCTAGCCCCAATAAGATCCTCCAGCCTCGAATTTCAGGGCGGAGACTCCCACGCCAACAAAGCCTATCGCAGAAGACCTTTATAAACTTGGCATCCCTCAGTCGGCACATTCTTAAAATGAGGATCTGCGCAAGTGCCCTGAGATTCTGCTACCGCCATGGCAGAAGACGACAGACGATCTTGAGAAACCCCCACAATCCCACTCGTGACTTAGCCGCGTGGCCGCTTGACGGATCCTTGTCATGCCCTACAAAAGTTCATGCTCTTGTTGGTATGGGTATTATGACTGCCAGCAATAAGAGTACGAGAACTCCAAACCGGGGGCCAGGCGGGCGCATCCCAGGTCCGAAACTGTGCCTCGGAGGGCACCGCAGCCCGGACCTCTGAGGAAGAGGAGGAGGAGGAGGAGTAAAAGTGGTGAGGGGTCGTGTGGGCTTTTGGGGCGGGGGCTGAAAGCTTTGAGCGGAAGGGGAAGAGGAGGAAGAGCAGGAGGGGTGATGGCGTAGGAGGCATCTCACGCCATGTTTTTGTAAAACCAAGGGTCTCAACCCAAGGCCCTATGGGAAAACTGCTCAACTTTGAGGCCTCAGCCTATTCTTTGGGGCTTGGGAGCTAGCTGGGCGCTTTCCAAGAAGGATTCCCTGAACAATCTGGGTGAAATTTAAAGCCTCGCCGTGCTTGCGATCCCCTGACTCTCAGGCACAAACATAGGTCAGCGGCCGTCTAGGTTGAAGGAGCTTGGCGATCTCCTTCCATGCAGAATGGATGGGACGTAGTTGGAGTTTGGTGGGGTTGCGTTTTGGGGATGCATTTATGCATGGTGGCGAGTGCAATTTGTTGCAGCTGCCAGCATGGCTGCCCACTTTGTTGTATCCCGAAAACCTGACTTCCCTGGTCTGGCTTATGTGTTCATGTTCCGGTGAGCTGTCACAGGTAGTCATTGCGTTTAGTAAAACTTAACAATCAAGGGTTGCGCGAATAAGTTACCATAATGGATATATGTATATACATATATATATATATGTAGTGAATGAAAGGGTTTCCCCGAAATAGTGACTTAAATTAAGTTCCTTAACAGCAACCCAGTTTCTGCTGAACTCCCCAAACAGCGTCTGTCAACGCAGTGCACGGTCAGCCTACAGTCGGTCAAGCCCCCTAAGCATCCATAGAACTTGACATATGGGGGTTTCCCCTAAATTAGGGTTACCATTTTGGGGGTCCCCATAACAAGGACCATTGTATTTTGGTGTTTATATTGAGGTCCCCCTTTTTAGGGAAACTATCGAATACACTCCAAAAACAACAAATCATCGGCCACCTCTTTCCACTCAGCAAAATGCTCACAAGTCTCCCAAGCTCCCTGGCAGCCCTGCTGCCAAGTGCCCGGGCAGCGTGCACTCTGCGAGACTTCATGGGTCTGTGGGTGTTGGTCCTAAGTGCTGCAAGATCTAAATGCAAACCTGGACACTCGAGAACATGATTCCTTGGGTGTTGCTGGCATACAGATTGCAAATATCGAGCACACACGTAAGATGTGTGTATGCTACGCACACGCTGCTTCAACGAGTCAAGCAAAGTTGAAGTCCGTCTGCACCCCCACCGCCATGAAAGCTTGTGGTCTTTTGACTCCGGCCCCAAGTGGAAGCAAGCAAACATGAGAAGGCTTTGCCAGAAAAACGGTCCTGTTTCAGGACCTTCCCTTGCCGGCCCTAGCAGCCAAGCAAAGGAGCCCTGACAAATGCATACCTTGCCTGCGATGCACATACAAGACTTGCTGGGCTTGCTGGGCTTTTAAGAAAACCACAAGTGACCCCAAACAGCCATCATCCATGCAAGACACGCGGGTACTCCTCTGTCATACGGACCCTAGATTTTTAAGAAAGGGTGCGCGACCAGAAGAAACAAGATCATTGCTGGGATACGCTGAAGCAGGTCTGTCTCGGTCTCCTTGTTTTTTGGCCTCTTCTCCAGTTGATGGGACTGCTCTGAGTATGTGTTCATACCACTCTGGATCAACATTTTTCAATGGTTCAGGGAATTCACTGTCAGGGGGCAGGCGAGAGGCAACACTGTTCATGATTTGTGTGTTGGCTTGACATGATGATCCGCACGATTTCAGGCATCCAGCTGAGGAGCTTTGCTTTTCTAGATAAGATCTTGTGCAACACTGCGTCAGGAAAGTGCATCTCCAAAACATCTACGAAGAAAGATGGAAGGACACTTTTGTCAGAGGCTGAATTGGCAGTCGTCATCTCATGCCTGCACAGGCCTGCGAAGGCGGTACAATAATTAGCAAATCCATCTGGAACACCCGGGCTTTCTTCAAGACGAATGTTGTCTAAGTCCCCTAAACCCTAAACC